ATCGATCATTATAATAAAGTAAACCATCTGCAAGTTCTATATTATTTCTTAATTTGTAATAATGAGTTAATTCACCGGTCATATTGAAATTTTTTGGCCAACCATTTTTATAAAAATTTATAATATTAGATAGAACACTATCTTTGAGAGATTCTTCTTGAAATTCTTTCAATTTTTCATCAGAAATATTTAAAGTTTTATCTGTTATTACATGCACAACGTCATTCATTAAATGATCATGATATATAGGTGTTTTTACATTACATCTTGATAAAAAATCTGCAATATACATTTTTTTGCCAGGCAAATATTTTATTTTAAAATTATACAAAAATAACTTTAGTTTCAAACGCCGAATTCTATTATTTTGTATTTTCCCAATGCTTTTTGAAATGATAGATAATAATGGCATATGATCTGTATAAATAGTAACATCATTGTGTCCATAAATATAATTATGAAATTTCTGACAGGAAAAAGTAATAGACAAAAGTTCTTTTTCAATTTGCGCATATTCAATTTCTGCTGAATTTAAACATCTAGAAGCAAAACAAACAGGCTTATTATTTTGTAAAAGACAACATCCAAGTGCATCTTTTGATGCATCACACTGAATGACAATAGGGAGTGATATATCAAAATTAGCAAGAACTTGACTACTACAAATATTTTTTTTAATTTTATTTAACGATTGAACTTGTAGATTTGACCAATTCCATTCAATGTCTTTTTTTAATAATTCGCGCAAAGGAGAAATAACCTTGGATAAATTTGGAATAAAATGCCTTAAATAATTTATCATACCTAATATTCTCTGTAATTCTGTTTTATTTTTTGGATGAGGCAAATTTTTAATTACTTCAATTTTTGAAGGATCAGGCAACATTCCATTTTTACAAAAAATTACCCCTAAGTATTTAATTTCTTCTACACAATATTGAAATTTTTCAAAATTAAATTTTATATTATATTTTTTAGCTCGTTCCAAAACTTCCTGTATAACCAGGTTATGTTGATCAATAGTATCGGTAGCTATACAGATATCATCAAAATATATTGTGACCCCTGGAATATCTCCAAAATATTTAAATACTAATTTGTGGAAAAGTTCCGGTAAATTACATAACCCGAATGGTGCTCTTAAAAATTTGTATGTTCCGAATACTGTACTAAATGCACAGAGTTGGCTTGACTCCTTATCTAATTTTAAATGATAAAAACCATCTTTAATATCAAGCACACTGTAATATTTTTTATATGCAAGAGATGGTGCTAGTTCCTCTATTGTAGGAATAGTATATCTTTCCCTAATAATAAATTTGTTTAAATGAATTGGATCTATACAAATTCTTAAAGATTTATTAGGTTTTTCGACAATTACTATATTAGAAACCCACTCGATTGGTTCATTTACTGAAACTATAATTTCCCTTTCAACCAAAAAATCTAAAGCTGGTTTTAATCTATCTTTGATTTTCATAGGTATTCTACGAGCAGAACTGGCAAAAGGAATAGCATCTTTATGAAGCTTAATTTGGCAAATATCAGGAAAACAGCCTAAACCTTCAAATGTGTCTTTATATTTTTCAAAAAAAAATGTTTTATTACATAAATTTGAATGATTTGCTATTGTATCAATACGTTTAACTAAATTCAAATTGAGGCATGAATTTAACCCTAATATCGGAACACAATCGTCTTTAACTACAACAAATTCTAAAATATTGATATTTTTATCTGTTTCCACTTGAAAAACAATTTTACCTAATGATTTAATTTTGAATCCCCCGTAGGCAATTAAATTTATATTGAAAAATTTAATATTATCTTGCAAACCAAGTTGCTTGATGTATTTTAATGGCAAACTATTCACCTCTGAACCTGTATCAAGCTTAAATTTGATTTCCAAATCCTCCAGTTTCAACCATTTATACCAAGATTTTTCAGTCTGGAGGTCACCTGCATTATTTATTACATTTATAGAAAACCATGAATTGGATAATTCTTCGGATAATTCCGTTTTTCCATTTACTTCATATACTTCCACATCATTTCGGGATTCATTTTGTGTTTCTACTTCATTACAATTTTTTCTTACATCGTTTTGTTTCTGGGTTTTACACACCGAAGAAAAATGGTTAATACGTGAACAATTGAAACATTTTTTTCCAAATGCTGGGCAATTACCATAATCATGATGGGAACCACATCGAAAACATTTAAATTTGTTGAATTGTATTTTTTTGATCACTGATCTGTCAGTTTTATATGTAACTTTGTCAACACACATGTCATTGGGAATTGAAGATAAAATTTTGATATTTTTTTCTGCTAATTCAACAGATTTGCATACATCAATCATTTTTTCTAATGAACAGTCATCACGTAAAAAACGTTCCTTCAAGAAAAAATTCCCAATACAATTTGTGCTTTCAATAATTTGTTTTCCTGACTTTCAAAATGACATAAGTTGATCAGAAATTTTAGGTCAGCATAAAATTTTTCAAACGGCTCACCTTCTTGTTGCTTCCTATTTAAGAATTAGTATACATTCATTATTTCATTTTCTTTGGGTATGCAATGATTTTCCAAAACGCGTAAGATCTTCTCAACATTTTCTTCTTCTGGCTTCAGATCAGAAATAGATTTGTACAACTTTAGAGCTTCCGATCCCACCAAATTCTTTAATCTTGCTACTTGAACTTCCTTCGATTTTTTATTCGTTTCAGTAGCCAAAAAATAAATCTGTACTTCATCATTAAAGTTACGAAAATTTTCAGCAACATTTCCACTAAGGAATAGCTCTTTGGGCTTGTTAAATTCCATTTCTTCGTAGGTCGGTTCACTATTATGACTGCGCCATGTTTTATTTTATAATATAGGTTTATTCAGGAACGTTTAATATTACAATTATTATATTAATTGACAACAACAATCATATATCTATCAAACTGACATAACTGGTTTAACTGGTAAGTGTCTATTAATATAGGTAATTATTATGTTAATATTACCTATATTAACAGATCACATAGGCAGATACCCCAGAAAAAGCAATAAGGGTCCCAGAACTGACCTTTGAGGTACACCACGAGCACTTGACGCTCTTCTGACAGTGGTACATATATGTATGTATGTTATTAGTATTATGCAGACATTAATGCACACCTCTAGTTCGTCAATCCTATGTGTCATGGAACGCAGACTGTAACCACAAAGAGACTTTAATTGAGGACGTTTTCAATTTGCTCACTTTGAATTCCGTTAAGACATTCGCCAAAAAATCCCTCTGCATCGGTGTTTTGTCGCTCTTTATGCAGATGTGTTTCTACCCTAATGCTTTCCTGGCAAGTTCTGTAGTCGCGGCAGATATTGTAATTGGCATGGCCTATTCCGAGTTGTATTTTCCGAATGTTTACACCACATTTATCTGGTGAAGCACATTTTTCATTGCCTCCAAACAGCATTATATTTGTTGAGCGTCTTTCTCTTTCCATCATGTCCTTGAATGCTGGTTCAACGCTCTGCTCATTAAATAATGACTGATGACCTAGTGGCTTCTGGGATCTAATAATGCTCTCAAGTCTCTACCTTATCCCCCAATAGCCTGACAATGTTTCCTTTCAGTGCATCGGCGTTTCTTTTTATTGAGGTTTTTATTTGTAAAACATCTGCACAGATCATTAATGTTGAGCCATCTCTGACTATCTTAAACTATTAAATTGGCGGTTCGCCGAATTGAAGTGGCAGCTTCGATTGAGGTGGTGAATTGAGAATTTTCAAATAGGTACTTCGGCCAATATTGAAACAAAGGAAATTTCCTAAAATGGTTTTTCGTTTTTCCTTGGCTAATTTGAAGAGATATTTTAAAATAAATTTCAGTCATTGTTGCGAGGACTATTGGATAGTGAACTATACAGTGTGATTTTTTGAGTATGCAACATATGGGATATTTTTTTTAGTAACAGCACAACCCAAATACAAACAAGGCCAAAAGTTGGTGCATGTCTGATAATCATATTAGGTACACTTAGAATGGTTGCAAGTCAAACAGCATACAGGGTAGCTCAAACCATATCAAAACTGGTACTGTAAAGTACCCTTATTTTAGAAAATTCAGCAAAATGTTATAGAGAAAAGTTGTTTGGAATTAAAATGTATGCCTAAATACCAAAACATAGCCTCCTAAGATTTTTTTTATTTTCTTACGAAAAAAATCAATAATTTCTATATTTTTTTTTATTTTTTATTTCCGCCCTTAATACTTTCAAAAATTAATTAAAATCAAATCAATTTTACATAACTTTGTTCAAATTCAAGCATATTTGTAAAATTAACTTAGATTTTTAATTTTTTCTGGAATCACAAAATTCATGTTTATTGCAATGATATTCAACACAACTTTAAAATGTCGCAGTTTTTTTTTTAACAAGTTAAAACATTACTAATGATAATAGCCATATTAAAAAAACTCTCCTTAAAGTGCAAAAGTTTTATTTTATTTAAGTAAATATTAGTAGAATTTTGATATTTTTTGAGCCACCCTGTACGCTGTTTGACTTGCAACCATTCTGAGTGCACCTAATATTATTATCAGACATGCGCCAACTTTTGGCCTTGTTTGTATTTTGATTGTGCTATTACTAAAAAAAAATCCCATATGTTGCACACTTAAGTAATGACACTGTATACCTACTGACATAAATTTGAAAGGCCACGATGCGAAAACGCACAGCTGATGTAAGGCATATAGAGATAGCATACAGGACGAGATGAATTTTATTTTTATAGCACGCTGTTTAAATAGAGATATTCACGGCTCAAGCCAGTTTTAATAGAAGTTCAACCGTTCTATCTTTAAGTAGGTATACGCCTCACTTCAGTTGCCTTGAGTAATCTTTCCAGTTTTCGTTTTTCGAATTTGAAAAAATTGAATTGATAATGCAGACTAAACGTCGGATGACAAATTTATTAACGACATTTTATAAAAGGGAAAAAGTGGCAACTATAAAGTATTTATCACTTAGATGTCAAGAGATCATTTTTAGCACTAAAAAGCGCTACTTTCCCACAATTTACGTAACCCTGTATATTTTACAGTTCAGGAAATCCGGATGATACGCCTCGGGATCCACTCTTTACAGTCAGGCAGTCCTACCAAATTATCGGAGTTGTCATTTACTCATAATTTTTGTTTTTATTTTATTCATGATATTCACATTAAATTACTCTCTTGTATTTATCACATATTTTTATATTCACAAATTATATATATTAACTAATAAATCACATAGATTCTTTCAGTTCGGACATCTTTTTTTTAATGTGGGTTAAATCAATTAACAAATTATCCACTAATTTAGGCGTTACAGTGACAAACTCCTGCTTTCCTCCTATGTTCAAATTCAAAATAGCACATCCTGTTTCCGGATCTGAAGTTGCAGATACACCTTCCAAAGGATTAACTGCAAAAAAGAAGAAAACAAGTTAAATAGGCTTATTTAATACATTCAAAAAATGGTTCAAATAAATAAGCCATTCATATTGGATTTTTTTTATAGCATTTCAAATTCTTTGTCAAAATGGACAGAGACAGTTGTTTAAAACAATTATTTTACCGCATTTTAATTATTGTCATTCCTTATCATCTTGTACTTAGAAAAATATAAACAGACTGCAAATTATCCTTAATTGTAATAAATATACGCCAATAGTGAGCATGTTATAGACATTTAAAATGGTTATGGTTATCTGTCGGGCAGGGCATTAAAAGCGCGAACATTCCAGTGATATGAGGTAATATGTTAGGCGAACTATTGGTTGTGCTTTAACAATTCCAAAAGGCAAATTAAGTTAACCATAATTACCATGAAAAACAATTCAATATCATCTAATAGGAGTTGAAATTATGTATTATAATGATGATCCTATGAATAGTTTAAAAAAAAAAATAGGTGAAGTCAAAAGTTAGCAGTGGGCCGATTTCTATGCACTTAAGTGTAGATGAAGTTACTGAAACGCTTTTGTATTCTTAAATTGGTTTATTGGTTCTTAACATTCACGTACCTCTAAGTAGCTGTGCCTTAAAATTCTCTGATAAAGCCCCATTGTATTCTTCAAACACCCTTTTAATTGAATTACTATGTTCACGAGGCAGGCCCAATTGTTGTAGTTCCGACTGGAGAGCGCTACTCTCACAATGAAATCGTGTTGCAGATGATATAATATATTTCAAGCATGCTATACACGATTTAAGGTCAATATCTGCATCTAAAAATTAAAAAAATGTATTTAGAAGGTACTAAAACAATACTTTCTTAATTGTGTGCTTCTGATTTGGTTGTTTCATAAACCACATTTCAATTTCTAGTTTATTGAAACTTTCGCCTGTTTCTCGCAATTTTTTCGAAAAAATATTCATCCGGAAATTCTGCAGGAAAGGCCAAAAAAACTTATGGTAGAAAACCCCGCGAAGCGTGTTTCTGCTGAATGATTTTTTCAGGTCGGGTGTAACCTGGGTCAATCACAAAACTAAACATATTGGGTACCGCAAACAGAAACACGCAGTGACATTTGTGGCTTCAGCCAGTAGACCTCGGGCTTTCAGAGCATCAATCAAGCAAAATATCGCTTGCGCCATAGAATCCACCAATTAGCAGAAACAGATGTTGCTGAGTTGTCACGCATTTTAAACCTTCACCTTTATCTGAGAGACTTCTGGCTGAACCACAAATGTGCTCCTCGAGGTGCTCCTGTTTGTGGTTCCTGTTTTGTATTCCTTCTGTAACCAGGAAACCAGGTTACACCTGACTTGATGAAACATGTGTCCGGTTACTTTAACTTCATCCTTTTCTGCACGTCACTGAGGCACAATAAATCTTCTCCTAGTATGTATTAAGTAGGTATCTGCCTCCTGTAACCTCCCATAATGTATATTTACAGGGTGACAATTTGAAAAGTAACAATCGGGAATATCTCTGAGACAGACAACACTATCAGGAAGATCTCAAATACATATCGGGGGATTGGAGGGGCAACCAAAATGAGGCACTTTTTGATTCACCCCGCCTCACCTGTTAGGGGGAAGCTAATCTAACTTATTTTTTTCAAATACGAACCTACCTTGTGTTGCACGTCGTTGGACAGCTGGTTGCTTTCCTTTTACAGCCTTATAGCAAAATCTCAAATCATACGATTAGTTTTTGACACATCGATGTTTAAAAATAAGCATATTTTTAAAACTACCTAGTAATTTTGACTACCTATCTCTTAGACAAAATAATTCTGCCATAAAAGTGTCAAATACACATCTGAAACCAAATGTGTTAATTACCTAACCCCTACTCCTCCTGTCTTAGAGGCTTGCCACCCTAATGATTTTTCTAAAATGAGAAACTACCCCGTGTGATACCTCCTTCAAAAGGTTTTTCATTCCTCTTTAGAGGCGTGACCATTTCATTTCAGCTACAATATAGAACATGATGGGCTTGACTCTTCATCTGGAAAACTCAAAAACAATTTTGCCTGGCAAAGTTGAAGAGCATTCAGCTATTCTATTAAAACCCCATCAGGCTGAATTCACTTGAAACTACGTTGTGCAGCTGACACCCAACGGCAAATCATAATTCAATAGTATAATCGTGTAAGAAATGAGATCCTAACCTATTATGGCGTACGGCTTTCCCGGGGAACACCAATTACCAAAAAGAAATAATCAAACCATGATTTGTTGCCCTGGATATCAGTGAAACGCAATTTCAATTGTTAAGAGGAAGTGATTGAAAACAGCCAAATGCTTAAAGTCTAATACCAAACATGTTCAACTAGAAGTAGCTTGCCAAAATTCTGATTTGAAGGGCAGTTAGGATCATAGCTTAGGTAATTATTATTTTTTTAATAGCTTATTTCTCCACAACAGTCTACTGAATGACAATATAAAAATAAATAAGAAAAGAAAGGTACAATAGCTTGTTTACATTACCCTGGTCCCCTTTTTTCTTACTTCAGTGATGATTCATCAATTAGGTATATTATTCAGATAAACAAATCCTTCCATACTTGCTGAAATGCACAAAACACCAATTTCAATTGTTTCAAAAATGCAATGAAAAACCTTTTGAGAATGATCATTATTTGAGTGGCAAAAATTGCCAAAACTACTTAGTGCAAAACAATTATCATTTTTTATGTAGGTACCCACTGTATACTTATGATGCATCAGATAACTTCATACTAACCTAATTTTGAATCTGCAAACAGCTTATCAATTTTTTCAGTCTAAAACAAGAAAATACTATTAATGAAAAAATTAGTGTTTAAAAAGCAGGTGGTAGGTATTTTAAAAATAAATGATATAAATTAATATGGGTCACTTAAATTTAAGTCTCACCTGTATGGGTGGCATTATTATTCCCTGAACAACAACTTGTCCTAGTAGTTTCAATTTTACAGAGGATAGCCTAGATAATGTGTAAATCTCAGCTAAAATCCAATCTGGACAGTCTGTGTCTCCATTGAACCGGAATTTCTAAATCATAATTATTGAGTAAGTACAAGTCTTGGTACAAGTATAAGTAGAAAAACTAGGTGAGAGTGTTTTGAAAAGGGCTGTACCACTGTACCCATATGGTTTCGGCTATTATTGTTATATTTCAGAAACTAATAATACTTAGGTACTCCCTATAATACATAATATCCACTTTTGAAAGGATGGTGGACGAATCGGGATAAATGCAACGATGTGATGGGTATAAAAAAACTTAGGGCAATATCACATTCAACACTGCGTGACTGTGAATCTTGCAATCCTAGCCATTCATTATGGTTTTCGTTTGTAGCTTATTGTCTATTATATGTTCTATTTTGGTAGTTTCTACATTTTTAAGTCTACTACTATACATGTAGGTAATTATTGTTTGCCCAGCGGATCTGAGCCTACGGAAGGAATTCGGACGTAAATGTGCCATGATGCCACATTTAATTATAAAAAAGTGAAAATACTAGGCATGAGGTATAGTTCATTTGAAAATCCATTTTTTAATAACAAAATATTGATAACAATAATAAAACGCTAAATATTTTAACGTGGTTGTTAGATCTATTCTTATTTTAATTCTGATTTCTCCAATTTGGTCTATTGTAAAAAAAAAACATTTTCTAAAGATACCATCAGCTTTTGACTATTTGGCAAGCATCCGGCCTGGATGAACCTGATTGGTGGAATTTTTGGCAGGATCGCCGTTGCCATGGGAAACCATACAGTTGTCAATGAGCTAACGTCACCTTACGGCCAGAGCTTCCGTCATTTTATCCTCCCATCTTGGAATATCAATTTATATTGAAATATCCAGTGACGGGGGTTTGGTCATTGTCGATTTTCGTGTACGAGTTGCAATACGATACTTCCAAAAAGTTCCGCACGCAGCCGGGTATTTTATGAATGAAATCAGCCATTTTTTTACAACTGCATTCCCCTTACCATTGCTCCGTAGACACAGAGTCGCTGGGCAGACATTACCTGGCAGAGTGTTTGTAATTTTAGAGAAAGTTAGTAGTATGAAATACTAAGGACTAATGTTCTGTTTAAAAAATGTTAAAAAATACATTAGAATACGTTAGTTATTGGAAAGTAGATTTAATTTATTCTAAGAAACTATTGCTAATTGATTGTTAATTTTTGGAAAAATAATATGCACCTACTTGATATTTAATTATATGATCAATACCAGTGCTTCAAGCACTCCTTGGAAGATCTCCCCTGTATCTATCCATAAGCATATTTGTAAATTATGTATAGTAATTGCACAGGATCTTTGTGTGCAGGATAGGCAGGAACATAAGATTTTGCAACAGCATTTAAAGTTGGCAAGAGGAAAAAATCAAAATGCGAAAATTGTAAGAGGCAATCGTTTAGTGATAAACGGAGATATATATACAGCTAAGGACTTGCAAGAAATTGAGGAAGATGCTTCGGCTGAGCAGAAGTCCAATAGTGTACCTAATACGCCCTCCATACCTTTGGATGCCGTCAATAAATTTTTTGAAGAAAACTATCAGGAAGTAAAAGAAACAATAGTTGGACAAAAACAGGAAATACTAAGAAATACTACACAAGAAGTTAAGAAGAGGGATAGGGACAGTATTGGCCGAGAGCAAAGCTCAAAGGACTTAAAAAAACTTAAGGTAACTCCAAAAACTCCAAAAGGCAACTCAAAATCAATCAATTAATATTAGGTACTTATAGGTTCGAAACTATTGTGCGGTTTGTCTGTGTCCGTCCCTATTTATTTATATCTTATCTTGTTGAAACCAACTAAATGTTTTTATACCTTTTAAACTTAACATTGTCATTTTTTTTTTCTCTATATCAATAGATTTTGCATTCCATTGGGTTTTATTAATAAAGTGGAATAAATTTTAATAGAATCATGAATGAATATATGGAAAATATAGATCGGGAACTCATAAAGTCCAGGGAGGTTTGCAACAAAGAAGAATTTTTTCAATCCATAACTGAGAAGGGTTACAAACATACGTTTTCAATTTTTCACATGAATGTTTGTAGCATTAATAAAAATTTCAATGAAGCTTTATTGCTTTTGAGTGATTTCAACTTTTATTTTGACATAATTATCTTTGGTGAAACCTGGGAAATTTTGGACAAGGATATCTTCAATATAGTGGGTTATGAATCATTTTACAATGAGGGTAGATTTAATCAGAATGATGGCCTAATCATTTACATAAAAGAAAAATATAAGGATAATTTTAGATTTGAAACGGTGTTATTAGAAAATGTTACAATGATTAAACTGCATCTCTTAATTAATAGGCAAAAAATACAAATAAATACATTATACAGGCCTTATGCCATAAAACCTCAAGATTTGGTTCAAAGCTTACAAAACTACATAACTAGTTCCCCTTGGCAAAATTACAAAACAGCATTTTTTGTTGGAGACACAAATATTAATATTAAATCAGAAAACGTAGATTATGTTAATGAATACCTAAATTTGCTTAGTGAACATGGATTTAAATCATTAATAAATGGATACACTAGAGAAAGAAATGGGTCAAAGTCCTGCATAGACCATATTTTTATGAGAGGTGAATTAAATCAGGAGTTGATGTCATTTATAATAAAAAGGAATATTACTGATCATTACCCAGTAGTAGCTGTCTTAAAAATCGATGAATCTCTGTTAGATAATAATAAAAATGTCGAATACAAAAAAATAAATACAAAAAAACTTGTACATATTATACAAAATGAAACTTGGACGGATTATTACGAAACTGAGAATCTGGACATTAAAATGGATCTATTTATGAATAAGTTGAAAGCAGCAGTAGATTCGGCTACAGACACAATTAAATACAGAAAAAATTTAAAAAAACGGCATCCGTGGATAACTCCAAGTTTAATGACTTCATCAAAAAGAAAAAATGAATTATATAAAATATCACAGTTGGACCACCAAAATATTCAAAAACAAATAGCTTACAAACAGTATAAAAAAATATTTGAAAGATTACTAGACAAAACTAAAAAAGACTATTTTCAAAGAGAAATAAATAAAGAAGGCAATAACAGCAAAAATCTTTGGCAAAGTGTTAACAAATATTTGGGAAAAGAACAACAAAACACAGAAATAAAACAAATCAAATCAAACGAGCGCACAATTACGAACAAAAAAGAAATAGCAAACAAGTTCAATAAATACTTCACAAGTTTGGGAAAAAATCTAGCGAAAAAAATTAAAAGAACAGGAAAAACTAAATTTAATGGAAAAATACAAGAAAACACATTTTTTTTGGAACCAACAAATGAACTTGAAGTTGAAGGAATAATAAATCATTTGAAAAAGAAAAAATCTCCAGGATATGATACAATTACTACAGAAACTCTTCAAATTTTAGCTCCATACATAAAAACACCACTTACACATATAATAAATAAAATATTTGAACAGGGATACTATCCAAGTAGGCTGAAAATTGGAATTATCAAACCTCTCTATAAATCTGGGGGAAAGTTACAGATAGAAAACTATAGACCAATAACCCTAATTTCTATGCTTTCAAAAATTGTGGAAAAAATAATGAAAAAAAGGGTTGTTTCTTATCTTACTAAATATAAATTAATATCAGACAAACAGTTTGGGTTTCAGCAGGGGTTATCCACAGAAGATGCCATAGCATACGTAACGGATAATGTTTACAGAAAACTTGATAATGATGAATATGTTATGGTATTTTTTTTAGACCTTGCAAAGGCATTCGACACTGTGGATCACCCCATGCTGATAACTGTCTTAAAAAATCTAGGATTTCGTGGAATTACAGAAAAACTGATAATATCATATCTAAGTGAAAGAAGGCAATATGTCCAGATCGGTAAAACATTTAGTGAACCAACAACTGTGGAGTACGGTGTTCCTCAAGGAAGCGTACTAGGCCCAATCCTATTTACAATGTATATAAATGGCTTGTTAAACATAAATACATTTGGGCTGATCGCATCGTTTGCTGATGATACAGTTATTATATACAGTGGAAAAACATGGAAAGAAACGAAACTACAAGCAGAAAAGGATTTAGCAAAGATAAAGGATTGGTTTGATGAGATGTCTCTGACAATTAACTTTAAGAAAACAAAATACATACCTTTCAGTTGTAGTAAGGCAAAAGCTCCAAATTTCACAGAAATTAACGTAACACAAGCAAATAACTCAAAAGTAACTATAAAAGGGACAGATAATATAAAATATTTGGGAATAGTACTGGATAGATATTTGAAATGGGACGTACATATCAACAACCTAATAAATAAACTACGTGTTATACTTTTTAAATTTAAAAAACTAAAAAAAATTCTTTGCTTTTCACAACTTAGGATTATGTATTGTGCACTCGTTCAATCCTTAATTCAGTATGGGATAGTTGGGTGGGGTGGAGCCTATAAAATACATATTGAAAAGTTAGAAAAAATTCAAAAGGTTTTCCTAAGGATAATGATCAATAAAAATCGCCTTTATTCAAGTAACAAAACATATGAAGAGAGTAAGCTAATGGACATTAATAAATTATATACCTTCAAATTGTTAATATATCAATTCAGATATAGGCACAAACTAAATATGATTGATCACCCACATAATACCCGACAAAAGTTGAAACTGAGGGTTGCAACTATTAAAACCAAAAAGACAATTGCTCAAAGAACAATTTCCTTTCTCGGGCCTTACATCTATAGATTTTTGCCAGATTTTCTTAAGGATGTCACTATATTGAAATTGTTTAGAAGTATTTTGAAGAAATGGATTCTTGAAACTCCCCGTACGTTTTTTAATGAACTAATAAATGGAAAACTCAAATAACATTACTTGCATATCGAGTTGCATATTCAATCTTTAGGTTCAAAGAATTCTTCTTTAAAATAGGCAAATTCTCTTTATGAATCTTGTTTTTTTGAAGTGCAGAGTGACAATGGATTTATACAACATAGGGCTACTGAGGTATTTTTTTGTTTTGTTATTATTTATATACTTATAATTATTGTTGTAAATTTATGGAAATGGGTATGCTCCCTGGTATGCTAAGGGTCAAATTTAGATTGTTTTGTGTTTTCAAGTACTTCCTATGACTACTTATTATTTTGTTTCAACATGTAAACGCGGTCTGCATAACTGAATGGAATAACAAGAAAAGTCTGCACACAAGTCCATCAGGACTTCAGCAGAAATGTTCTTATTTATTTATTTTCCTTCTGGTTACCTTGAAAGTAGTTTACTATGCGCTCGTCGAATCCATAATTAATTATGGCATTGTTGTTTGGGGTAGTGCAGGTGTGACTACATTGAACAAGCTCCAAGTAGCACAGAAATACATAATAAAAATTATGTTATTTAAAAATAAAAGATATCCAACTGAGTTGGTTTTCAAAGATAGTGAACTGTTAGATATCCAACAATTGCACCTTAAGGCAATAGTTAGATTTATGTTAAAAGTGCCTTATTATAAGGAACCTATTAGCCACGGAGTAAATACGAGAAACACTGCTAAGAACAATGTGACAAGACACAACCCCAAACATACAATCTGTCAATATCACATTTCTAGCTTAGGACCAAAAGTTTTTAATAGCCTCCCGAATAATATTAGAAACAAGCCATATCATAGATGTAAAAGAGAAATAAAACAGTGGATTCGTCAGAGTAATTACAAGATACATTACCTAATTTAAAAATAGTAAAAGATAATAACATTATTATTGTTTATATTTATATACATAAGTGAGTCAAATTAGGAACCTCAAGGGATAGACTGATATAGGAAAAAAGGGGCACACACAGTATTTCAAATACCATCGTGCACCCACATTAGGCAATAGTGTTAAGTATAGGTAAACTATATTGGGTATTTTTGTTATTATTTAAGGATACTATTGTTGATCAATAAATAAATAAATAAATAAAAAAAAATAAAAAAAAATAAAAAAAAAAAAAAAAAAAAAATCAATAGTAATATATTGTTTAAAGAAAATATATAGTTTTGATTAACATTCAAGGGTTGTAGGTTGCTCTAGTATGAGCCACCCTGGCCTCACATTAAAAGCACATATCGAATCAAGGATTCGACCAATGATTTGTAAGCTAATGTGGTCAACCACCAAGTAGTTTTTCACCCGACCTAGGCAGTGTAGTAGTTAGTGTATCTGCTTCGCATGCTGCAAGTCCCAGGTTCGAATCCCGGCTAGGGCAGGGTTGTTTGTTGTGTTGAACCGGCTCATATTGGCTTGGAGAGAGGATGTAGAATGACTTTCTCAGGCTTGCATGATGTCGGTGGAGTCTGAATGGCCAACCATGGATTGCGAATCAGACCATCTTAGGGTCGGGGTGTACGATAAGGTCGCCCATTTAAGCTGGATTTATAGTGTCAGTATCAGTAACAGTAGCAGTATCAGTAAAATATTAAAACACGGCCAACCATAAAGCCATTTATAATTCACTTAACAAACTCATCAGGAAAACTTAAGAAATGGTTATTTTCATATCTGTCCTTAAGTTTTAAGTCACTGGTACTGTTACTGATACTGACACTATAAATTCAGCTTTAGACTCTAGTATGAATGGGAAGGAGTAGAGTCCATGCAAATGATTTACAATAAGCCACAATGAGCTTCAGTCTTGGTGAGAGTCTTAGCTTCAGTGCAGAGCATGGGCTCGAAAGGGTGACAAAATAAAGTAGTTTTTACGCCATATAAATTAGTCTAGAGGACATTCAGGGGGTTTAGCTTCAACAACCAGATAATAGATTAGTAGTTCATAGTGAAACTGGCCAGCGATAGGGCTATTAGCTGATATAAAAATCGAAGGACACATATTATGGGAAAGTAGTTCCTTAGCAATAATTTAATATTCGCAGAAACCATATACATAGCACAAATCAAAACAAAATAACTTCAAAAACCTCGGTTCCCAGCTCGCCAAAACCTAGGCTCCTTCCACAATTTTCGTGGAACGCCAACCGGAAATAAGTGATGCCTACGTACCATTTTGTAGAATTTTCCTAAAAACTTTCCCAACAAATCTTTAGGACACAAAACTTAATAATGCACAAGCACTCTTTTTCTCAATTCTTGTTTGTTTACTACTGTACTACTCTACTAATGCAAGGTTAAGTTTTGATATTTGTAGTCCCAATGAATTTTGGCCATGAATTTTTGTAGCACAACAAATATCGTACAAGCGGGGCGCGTTCAGATTGAACGTCGGAAATCTTAGGACACAAAACTTATTTAATTCACAAGCACTTTTTTTCCCAGTTCTTGTTTATGTTAGTTTGATGTTTGTTTACTGTACTACTAATGCAAGGAAGTTTTGATATTTGTAGTCCCAGTCCCAATGAATTTTGGCCATGAATTTTTCTAGTACAACAAATATTGTACTAGCAGGGCGCGTTCAGATTGAACGTCGGATGTCACCCGAGCGCGCTCTGGCCGTTGTTTCGGGTAAAATTTACCCAGCCCTTCGGAGTTCAGATTGTCAGTGGATTTCAACCGGACGACACACTAGAGCCGTTTTCTCGTGTTTGCTCGTGTCCAAAAAAGTGGACGTGAGAAAACGGCTAAGGGCGGGTATTATAAAACTACTTCGAGAGTTAACTTAAAGTTAACTTCTGGAATTACATGTAATTCAAAAAGTTAACTTCAAGTTAACTGTCAGAGCAGTTTTATAATACCCGCCCTAAGTTGTATTCCTTTCAAGACTTTAGAACACTAGAGCTACTCGCTCCGGTGTTAGTCGACCCCGATTTGAAAGGAACAGATGCGCTGGCTTTCGTGCATTAAATGGTTTGACTTCGGGCTTGAGCATATCAAGCGCTGGGATCACGACAAGTAAAATTCTACTAGAAATTACTTTTATGAGGCCAAGTTGCCTAGCAACCATCATCATCGCCTGTACTGTACGCGATAAATAGGTCGCGCTTGACGTCATGAAAGTAGAATTCTACTTGTCGTGATCCCAGCCCAGGTGCAACAAACACTTTTTGAAAGGAATCAGCGCGTAACGCCCCGGAGCTGTTCCGGAGCTCCTCGTAGGTGTGAAAGGAATACAACTCTGACGCACAATTTTTCCACACTACTACTACTCATCGGCCTCGACTTTTGAATTCAGGTCAATGTTGCACCGTTGCGAACGTCAATAATAATGTTGTTAGCTGTTTGCGCTAGCGTTCGTAGATTTAAATAATGAATTTACGATGAAAAATCAGAAAAATAATATTTAATTTTGATTAACATAATAGACAAAGAGGAAAATGCAAACGAGATCTGAAAAAGGGTTGTTTTAGAATGCTAATTAATGTACTAAAACCGAGTATCCATGAAGCAAAACTCGGCGGAATCATAGCCTGTGGTGCAAACACCCTTCGTCAAGGCGAAAAACAACACGCTGTCTACGTCATCACTAGTACCTGCTTTTTAATGGTGGGGGCTTGAGATTTGAACTACACATGCCTTATAACAATAGGCGAGATCCTGTGTAGTGTGTAATATCCTTGCACTTTTGCCAGAGCTTTAGCAGCCAATAGCAAGATAAAATTTGCATTGTATACGCTTTTGTGTTCTAACCTCTATTATAGTTGGTTGCAAAGGCAAGGTTCCTAAAGTTAATAGTTAATAGGTAATGAGTAACTTGATTGATGACGCATCTGGGGTGCCTTATCGAGATTTGCATTATGTTGAGGCACCCCAGATGACGTCATAAAGTTATCCAGGCAACCTACCTCTCTCAAACAACTCTAGTTGCAAGGTATTTAATTGATTTCTGGATTTTTTTATAAAGAACTTTCATAGAGAAGGCATGGACATCAACACTACTTGATTCTGGCTATGTTCTTTTTTCAACTGTCAGTACTGTATTTGCTGGGCAGGGTTGAAAAATTAAAATTTACTGAAAAAATTACTTATGGCGTCACTAATGATACCAATACGGCACTAGTTTAGTACTGTGTTTGCTGCATATGGGAAGCTACTTAGAGGTAAAATGGGGTTCTGCGCCCTCCGTCCTCCACTCCGGAGGAGATTTATCCTGCCTCTAGAGTACAGCTCCATACAGTAGCTGCTTACGATCAAGCACTTTTCTTACCTAAGTTGAAGTTAGGTTCTTAGCTGAGCTAAGTTGTTTGATCGTACGCGCAATTCATATAGGCTGATCAGCTGCCTATCAAGTTACGACTCACGTCACGTATTTCTAGTTCGGGTTTTAGTTACGACGAGAGTTTCAGGTTCAGTTTGTTTTTATTAATTTATTTTAAATTGAAATTGAAACTGAATTGTTTTTGTACTACAGCACAGTTTATTTCACATTAAAAATGAACAATTATCTACCTAGAATGTCATGAACCGTGCAATGGCAATAATGGATAATAAATTTAATTAAACTAAACTTCTTTTCAAAATTCCTGTTCCAACGACCAACTTTTAACAAAAAAAAAATAAAGAAACAACCTCAATTTAGAAATTATTAAACGTCAAAAGTCAAAAAGTGCGTACTTCGCGCCAACTTAGGTCAGTTAAGTTATCTCAGTTAAAAATCCGGGTGTCTTAGCAGGGGAATAAAGGGGGGAAGGCAGATTCTAACTTAGGGCGGGTATTATAAAACTGCTTTGACAGTTAACTTGAAGTTAACTTTTTGAATTACCTGTAATTCCAGAAGATAACTTTAAGTTAACTCTCATAGAAGTTTTATAATACCCGCCCTTAGTTGTGATAGATCGTACGCGCAACTAAGTTAGATTCTTTAAGTTAGGTAAGAAAAGTGCTTGATCGTAAGCAGCTAGTTTTAGACAGATCCGTATACAGACCTGTCTCTAGACCTGCATAGCTGTGTACAGACTTTTCTGAAACTGTATATACAGCTATACAGGGTTAGTAAAAAGTACTGCAACACTCAAATATCTTCAAAACTGCTTAAGCCGCGTTCACACAATTCCGAATCTGACAGTTTTCAGGCATGCGGAATTTAACAGTGCTATTGGCAATGTTGCCAGATTTCTCAGTTTTGCGCTACACCTAGTCTTTTTGTTATCTTAAATGAAATACCCCATTTATATTTATTGCAATGAATTGGGCGTGCCAAATTTGATAAGACTCCAAATTTTCAGAATTCTATCTCTACTAGTTGTTGAAATATGACAACACCGTATTTTCGGTGAAAAGTATCACAACGCTTGAATATCTTCGAGCACGTTCACGAAATTTGGTATCTGGGGGTTTTTGAGCAAGTGAAATTTAACCGTGATATTGGTATTGTTGCCAGATTTCCCGGTTTTGCCCTACAAGTAGTCTTTTTGTTATCTTGAATGGAATGCCCCATTTATTTTTATAGCAATAAATTGGACGTGTCAAATTTGATAAGATTACAAATTTTCAGAATTCTATCTCCACTAGTTGCTGAAATATGCCAACACCGCATTTTCAGTGAAAGGTATATCGTAACGACTGATCTTTAAAAACCCGCTTAAGCTCGTCCACTAAATTCGGTACCTATTATGGGCAAGTGAAGTTCAACTGTGATATCGGCATTGTTGCCAAGTTCATGAGGTATTCATATTTTCGGGCGTTTCTGATAAGTTTGCGTCTCCTCCTGAAATAGATAGATATCCCAGAATGATTCTCACTATAGTAGTGTCTAACAGTACAAGCAGCATATTGAAAATCTCATCAAAATTTGGACCAATTCATTGCAATAGAAATAAATGGGACATTTTATTTGAGATAACAAAAATACTACATGTAGCGCGAAACTGGGAAACTTGGCAACAATGACGATATCACAGTTGAATTTCGCTTGCCCATAAATTCCCAGATACCAAATTTAGTGGACGAGCTTAAGCGGGTTTTAAAGATATTCAAGCGTTGCGATACCGTTCACTAAAAATGCGGTGTTGGCATATTTCAGCAACTAGTAGAGATAGAATACTGAAAATTTGGAATCTTATTAAATTTGGCACGTCCAATTTATTGCAATAAAAATAAATGGGGCATTCTATTCAAGATAACAAAAAGACTACGTGTAGTGCAAAACTGAAAAGTCCGGCAACAATGCCGATATCACGGTTGAATTCTGCTTGCCCAAAAACCCACAGGTACCAAATTTCGTGAACGTGCTTAAGCGGCGTTTGAAGATATTTAAGCGTTGCTATACTTTCACCGAAAATACGGTGTTGTCATATTTCAGCAACCAGTAGAGATAGAATTCTGAAAGTTTGGAATCTTATCAAATTTGGCACGCCCAATTCAATGCAATAAAAATAAATGGCGCATTCTATTTAAGATAACAAAAAGACTACCTGTAGCGCAAAACTGAGAAATCTGGCAACATTGCCAATAGCACTGTTGAATTCCGCATTCCTGAAAACTGTCAGATTCCGAATTGTGTGAACTCGGTTAATGCAGTTTTGAAGATATTTAAGTGTTGCAGTACTTTTTACTAACCCTGTATATGCAGGTCTAGAGGCAAGATAATGTCTTCCGGAGAAAGGAGGGCGCAGAACCCCCATTCTTCCTCTACTTATTTATCTTATCATGGAAAATAGCTTAGTTTATATAACAGATTCGAGACAAAAGTGCAAGCACTGAGTGCACCGAGCGCGATTCCAAACGCGGCCTCGGTTGACTTGGATTCGTGGATGACGCCCGTTTTTAAATTTTATCAGTTTTTTTTTCCATGAATTCCATCACTGATGAGCTCATAGGACACTACGCCCAACGTGAGGAAAATTCATCGCAAAAAAACTAACAAATTCATTTGATTCGTTTTACACCATCAATCGTAGCCTCGTTAGCACGGTAACGCGCAATTACAAAAATGACTACAGAATTGAAACCGGAGTACTCGCAAGGTTAATTCGAGCAGTCAGTTTCGGTATCTTTACCCGGAGCGTGATGAAATATGCTTTACCTTGCGTTCGGTATTTTGCTTAAAGAGCAGAGCGTGCTGAGCGGAGCCGTAATCACGTGATCAGCGGGCGAACAGTACAGTTGATCGCTGTATCAGAGTGCTCGAAATTTTAATAAGCGAACGTGAATGAGCCTGTACCGAGTATACTTTTCAAATAAACGAACGGTAAATTCACGCTCGGAGAATGGAGAACTCGGATCAAAATACCGAACGCACGGTTAGTATCCGAAAACCCCTTGCACTCGCACAACATTCGATGACTAGTGTCTCGTTGGCAATCATCTGACAAGGGTGACGTGACAAGTTGCCAGTTGTTGGAAGTGTTGGCAAAGCATCATTTACCACCTCTTACCTCTTCATCTTCAACATATTTTTTCGTTTCGTGGCCACTTTTGAAATTGCATTACATTCTTTTTTCCTTTCATTTCAGTCTGTTTATAACTAAAGGTGAGTTTATTATACCTATACGAATTACGCAGCTTTATTTCTCCTTTTTGATTCAAGAACCAGTGATTATCCTGGCTTTTTCTTTTATCTACAGAAAAATGCTGCAAAAACTGGCAATATTATTCGCAGCTTTCACTGTGGCCATTTGTGTCGAAGAAAAAACTGGAGAAATCCAAGGGGCCAGGCTATTGATCTCCAAGCAAATCCTTAACAGATATCTTGTAGAAGGGAAAGATATTGAAGTTCGTTATTCTCTACACAACATCGGAAAGTCACCTGCTGTTCAAGTAGAACTTAAAGACAACGGTTTCAATTCTGATGCCTTCGAAGTTGTAGGTGGTCATTTGTCTACTAAGTTTGCCAGGATCCCACCAGAATCTAACTTCACACATGTAGTGGTAGTGCGACCCAACAAATATGGATATTTCAATTTCAGCAGTGCAGAGGTCTCATACAAAGTTTCTGATGCTCCAGATGCTCAGGTAAAGACCAGTTAAATCACAATTACTAGTAGTAATTAGTATTTGCCTATGTCTAGTATCATGTTTATGATGCTGTAACCATTAAAAGTGTATTTTTTTTCTATATCTTGCTACCATGTGAGTGTCTTATGCCAGTTTTCCACCAAACCGACAAAACTTAAAATCATACAAAACTCTAACTTTTCCCAAACATTTTCAAGACTAGCATGTTTTGCGACAGTTGGAGTTTTGGCATAATGTCGGTTTTCCACCAAACGGACTGTTGAGTTTGTGTTTTGAAACGTGTTTTAAAACAAAAACAGAACTGAACAGACTCGAGTCTGTGTTTGAGTTTCATATTCACAGCTTCCGAATGGGCCGAAAAACAAAACTCCAACTGTCCCAAAAAAATATGTTTGGGAAAAATTAGAGTTTTGTTTGGGTTTAAATTTTGTTTTTGTTTTGTCGGTTTGGTGGAAAACCGGCATTAAAACGTTATATTTCATGTACCTACCTACCTAATGAATCTAATTGAGTTCACACAATATTTTTATTTTGGAAAATCAAAATATATTAGTAAACTGACACTGGTGGAAAAATTTTTCATCTTTTTTGGGTTTATCAAACTCTAATCACGTAAATACCTACCTTTTATCTTTAAAAAAAAAAAGAGAATCACTGGGACTCTAGACTAGACAAGACAGACTAACTAGAAATTGGAAACTTGCATGCATTGATAAGCAACTAAAAAAGGTCTATATTACTCATGTGTTTTTTTTTTGCAATATAATTAGAGAATGTGATAATATGTAATTATACCTTACTTAATAAGGAAGAGAATGAAGATATAGTGATTGACCAGTACCTATGTTTTGCTTTTGAATTTTAATGGTTTCTCCAGCCATTTTAAGACAAGTCAATCTCGGCAAAATTCATGTATACTTCAGCATGATAAAAGCTACCAATAATGATACATTTTTCATGTAAGAATATACAAGAGAAAAGCAAACAGGTGTCTGGGGTGATCTGAAAGTTTATTTATAAAATATTTGAGGATCTGATTAAGGCAGAAAGCTGGAAAGGGGGTTTGGAGACAAGTATCTCTGAGAATGCAGCTCAGCATAATATTTTACTAACAAAATTGAGATTTTTTTGGAAAAAGCTACAGCTCATAAAACAGTTTACTAGGTATACACAGCATAGGAAGCTTGAGCCATGGATTACCACTGGTCTTATCTCAGCAATTAAAAGGCACGATAAATTGAAAAAGCTACTTTAAAATAACTCCAGTCTAGAAAACAGAATTAATTATAGAAATACTTTAAATAATAACAATTAAAAAACAAAAATTTAACTACATTTCTATAAAAAAGTGAAATAAATAGGTACACATCAACATGATTTCAAAATAATTTACCGGATACTATTCTTATAACTTAGAAATTAGAGATGATGATAACAAACTATTTACAAAGAAAAAACAAATGGCTGAATATTGCAAGATTTTTTTTTATCAATGTAGGCATAACAATCTAAAGAAGGTACAAATCACTAAATATTTGGGAGTTATAATTGGTCAGAACCTTAAATGGCAACAACATGTATTTAGATTAACCAACAATATTAGAAAATAAATTTGTGAATTTTATATGATTGGAGAAATATTAAATAAACATTTTCTAATTTGTATTTACAAGGTTCTTCGCCAAGATATGCTATACTAGTGTGTAGGGTGTAGAGTAGAGAAAGAGTAAAATGTCTTTGGAAAAAGCAAAATTTCCGAGAAAATTTCATTATTTCAGTTTGAAGGGTTTTAAAAATATCAAGAAAAACTGTCTTTTCTATATGAATTTTTCTCGTAATTTTTCTTTAGAAAAAAAACCTCAGGAATCACCACTTGGATTTTTGCCGCATGTTAAATAAATACAGAGAACAGTCTCTCAGTTTTATATAAGCCTGCAATTCTAATTTCTAATTCTTTAGAATCTGGTGCTGGAGAAAAGCAGTTTTTCAGCCGACTAAATTTTAAACAATATCTTTATTTTTGAACTTAAAACAGTACATAGACTGGTATCAAGTCCTACATTTAATTTTTCATACAATACAATTTCTTAGTTATGTTGTATATTGTGTGTATATAAAACTAACAATTATCAAAGATGTACCAGTTCTGAAAACAAAACTAGCAATTTGGCGCTGTTGGCCATCGATGCTGAAATCGTGCAAAAAATTGATCAATGATCCTGATCAAGTTCGAGATTCTTCGAAATCATTTCAAACAAGAAGCTTGGCATTTTTTCTATATAGTGCGGCCGTAAAGTAAGGAATAAACTCAATAATTATTCTTCTAAGCATATTTTTTTAAAATTCTCGAACACTTCAATTTTATTTTTAGTCGAGCATTTTTTAGAAAATAAAATTATTATACAGGGTGGTCGCAGAAAAGCTGGACAGGTAGTAACTTAATTAAACACCCCTAATTTTTTTTACATTTTCGGATTTCTGATGAAATTCTAAAATTTTTCACTAAATTCAACTGTTTTGGAAATATTGACAGTTGACAATTGACTTTTTTGCAACTTTGAGAGGCTGTAAAACCTAAACGGTTAATTTTAGAGGAAAACCGATCTTACATTCCTATCTTAGATTTTCATAAGCTATCATTTGACACCAACCTTGAATTTAATATATGAATTTAATCCGTGATTAAAAATTCCAATTAAATTTAATCTCCGATTGAATTTAAAGTTGGTTGATTGAATAGGAAATTTTGTTATATAAGTAAATTTAGTTTAAAAAGTTATACCTATTATAAAAATACATCTACAATAATTACAAGATTTTGTCTTATTTTTTAATAACGTACCTATAATAAGGGCAACCGTTGGGGTGTAATGAGCAGACGGAAAAGCTAATTGAAAGTTAGTGATAAAGCTCGACTAGGACTTCAACCAATAGTCCTTTTCACGTGGCTCCGGTTTAAACTAACCAGGTTACAAAACGGTTAGTAGCAGTCTGTCAAGTATGACATACCGTTTTCTAACTCCGTTACAAATTGATGTGATCGATATCACTCGAATTTGAGCGGTATGTTGTGGTTTGTTAAACCGGAGCCACGTGAAAAGGGTTTATGACGTCTTCAAATCCTAGTCGAGTCCAAACCTTTAATAAGCGTTTTTCCCGAGGGGTGAATAGCTCTTGCAGTCGGTGTACATATTCCTCACAATTTTCACACAATCATTCACAATCGTTCACAATCAGATCACAATCGTTCACAACCTGTGACAATCTCACACAATCTGTCACAATCGTTACACAATCACACAGAATCTCTCACAATCGTGTCACAATCTCTCACAATCGTGTCACAATCTCCCACAATCGTTTCACAATATCTCACAATCTCTCAGAATCGCTACACAATGTACCACCATTTGTCGCACGTGAGGTCCCTCCAAATAGTTTTATTCGCTTCATTTTCGCCCATAATAATAAGCCAATAGGCTTGTTTGATGAGTTTACTTTTGTATGCCACCTGCAGCACACATTTCTGATCTCTACTTGTACTGAATAGGGAAATACTAAGGGGAATATCCATAAAACCAACCTCAAAAATATTTGGTTGCCATTGAGGTAGGTGGTTGCCAGGGTGGTTGTTGTGCGTGAAAGTTAAAAACAAGGTTAAAAAAGTTTAACTTGAAAACCAAAACGAATTCACCTCAGATGGCCTGAAAATCCAGACCTAGGCGTTGCAGGAAAAAAAAATGTAGGTACAGGATATTTACAAATTCACGAGTAAGTATATGGATCTGGATAACCATAAGAGATGCAGGTTCGGTTGAATTGGTTATGCAATTTCTTGCTGACCAAAATGCCGTTTCGGAATCTGGAAAATTCCGGATAGGTACTAAAAAACGAAACCGTTTTTATTTTTTCCTGAGCTTATTTTTGAAGAAAAACTTCAAAATGAATTGCATTTCATCGATGGCACGTTTTCTTTTTTACAATATGGCTATCAAATTTGAAATCCGACGTTCGGTCTTTGGGCCACCCCACCATCAACTTTTTTTTTTTTAATACGGCTCTGGCATTTTGTGTAGTTCTTTGCTAGCTGACTTTTCTTCAATGGAATGGTGTATCAAAACAATCAATAAAATGAACATTTCGGTCAAAAAAGTATGATATAATTTGTATGGAGATACTCATTTTTGTCAATCAAAAACAATTTACCCTCGAATTTACCCAATTATTATATTTGTTATAAATAATGAGTTTGACAAAGACAAATTTATGAAGAAAACAATGTGTTTGACAAAGATGAGTATCTCCATACAAATTATATACTTTTTTGATTGAAATGTTCGTGTTATCGATTGTTTTGATTCACCATCCTATTAAGGAAGTCAAAAACTAACAAAGAACTAAATAAAAAATCCAGGGTTGTATTTAAAAAAATAAAGTTGATGATGTTGGCCCAAAGACGAAACGTCGGATTCCAAATTTGATAACGCCATATTGTGGAGGATAAAAAGTGGCAACGATGAAGTGTTATTTATTTTGAAGTATCCCAAATAAGCACAGGAAAAAAAAATTTGCAAAATTTCGTTTTTTTCCGAATATCTCCGGAAGTATTCGGAATTTTCCAGATTTCGAAACGGCCTCGGAAACGGCATTTTGGTGAGCAAGAAATTGCGTAACTTTGCCCCAATTTGACCAAACCTGTATCTATTATGGATATCGAGTAGGCATCGACGGATACCGATATGGCATATCGGTATATCGGTGTATCGGCCTTTTTCAGGTATATCGGTGTATCGGTATATCGGCCCTTCATTAGCCAATAACTTTAGACCGATACAAATCATATTTTAAAAGATCAGTAATCATCACTAAGGTTTTTTTAAAGCTTAAAAGAGCTAATAATTGTGGTTCGTACATATGGGAGTGACTAAGAACAAAGTAAATATTAGAAATTGTTTTTCATAAATTTATTTTAAATTAATTAGGTATTTATATTAAAAAAAAACTTAACATTCTGCGTATCTAAACTCAAATTCAAAATTATTTATTTATTTAAAAAAAAAAACTTAACTTTCTGCTTATCTGAACTCGAACAAACAATATTAAAACTAGAAGAAAACAAATAAATAAAACATTCAAACTAAAGGAAAAGGTGTGAGAAAACAAATAAAACATTCAAACTGAAGGAAAAGGTGCAAGAATCCGTATCGGCCTTATATCGGTATCGGCCTTCTATAAAGCCATATCGTATCGGTATCGGCAATATCGGTTTTTTGAAAAAAAAAACCGTATCGGTCGATCCCTGAATCGAGATCTGCATACTTGCGAATTTGTAACACCTTGTAGATATATAGTCGCGATGAACCCATGACGTCATCAAAATTTGTCAAACCGTTTTGAAATACAATCCAATCCACGTTTTGAAACCATTTTCCCAAGCCGAGAAGTTATGACGTCATGTGACATTGTTCTAAACCAGTTTTAAAAACGTTTTTAAACATTTTACACGTGAAAAAACACATATAGTTTTTACACAATCATTCACAAGTCTTACACAATCAGTCACAATCACTCACAATCATGACAAAATCAGTCACAATCACTCACAATCATGACAGAATCGGTCACAATCGTGACACAATCAGTCACAATCCTTATACAATCATTCACAATCGTACAGAATCACTCACAATCGTACACAATCGCTCACAATCTTAGCAAATTTCCTTAAAGATTGTGGAATTTGGCAGTCGGTGTACACATTTTGGGTCAGCTATTCACCCCTCGGTGAACAAGAAATGAACTTCAAAAACCTGATACCTATTAATATTCGAAATTCTTTATTTATTTATGGTTATGGCAACATATCAATGCTGCTCTTTTCATAATAATGATTTTATTCTAGACTACTAAAATTATAAACTTTATTTTTTCAGACTCAAGTATCATACAGCAGTGAACCTGGTGAGGGTGGAATTGTAGCTTTCCGTGACTACGATAAGAAATTCTCATCACATTATTGGGATTGGTTGGCCTTCGCCCTTATGACCTGTCCATCTTTAGTCATCCCGTTGGTCTTGTGGTACAACAGCAAGAGCTCATATGAAAAAGTGAGCAAGCCAAGCAAAAAGAATTAGCATGACTGAGCATTAATTTATTTTGTGTTAATTGTGTTAGGAAGTTTACAAAATGTCATCATGTATGTTATATTTAAATGTTAACAGTCATTTTTTATTAAACTACCTAGCTAGAAATTCATTGTTGTGGGAAAAGCCAGATCCATCAGAATTTTAATCTGAAGGTACAATGTACTATAATTTGTGACGTTTTTTTTTTTACTTTCCCCTAGACCTAAATATTTATAGCTAGGTAGATTGAATCAAGAACAAATAAATTCACAAAAACATTTATTTTATAATTATTTATATCTTCTTTTGTTAAATAAAATATGAAAAGAACTGATTGAAGACTTGAGTTTTTTTCCTAGAACACAAAAGATGAATGTGTAGATCCATCCAAAATCTTGAAAGAAAAAAAGAAATAAAAACGCCAGAACTTTTAAAAATAAAATTTTCACAATCAAAAAGTTGTTGATATTGAGTCGAATTTAAACAAAGATGTTGAAGAATATCTTCGGAAAAACAAGGAGCTTCGATTAAATACGTTTTCCCGAAGACTTCAACATCGTTGAATAAAAATGCTATTTGAATTTATTTTTTTCATATTTTTAACCCCACCATTCCAATTTCGAAACCAATTGAACACAATTCGCCTGTGGCGAAATTCACCAAAATGTTGCAATGCCACGGATGCGGTAATTTGGTAATTAATCGATTCACTAATGCCAAACCCTGGAACTAAACCTTAACTTATTCTCACTCGGTGCTTGAAGCTTTGAAAAGCCGATCGGCCGGTGGTTCATTCTATTCGTATACGGACGTCTTCACCAACACCTGCGATAATGGTTCCATACCCGCTTTTGTTGAGCAAGCCCAAAATACTGGGCATATCGGGTCTATTATTGATTGAGACAAATTTGCTAGTGATGAACGAGCCATATCGGGGGCCTTGGAAGCCGGTCAGGTTGTAGATTCTGTCTATACTGACTTCTCCAAGGCCTTCGATAGGGTGAGTCATGCATTGTAGATAGAAAAACTTTCCAAATATGGTGTATGTGGTTCACTTCTTCAATGGCTGTATTCTTATCTTGGTAGACAGAAGCCAGATTGTAAAGGTGAAGTCATTTCAATCTGAGGTTATTTAGTGCTACTTCTGGGGTGCCTCAGGGGGGTCATCTTGCACCACTACTGTTCTGCTTATTTATCAATGACATAGGGTCTTGCTTCCATCATGTCCAATTTTTATTGCATGCCGATGACTTGAAAATTTTCAAGATTATAAATCAAGAAGGCCCAGACAGGGGAATGCAGGATGATCTTCTGAGGTTCCATGAGTGGTGGGTTGAGAACGAGATGACGTTGAATGGCAAGAAACGCAAATATATTCAGTTCTCTAGGAAAAATTCTCCCAAACTAAATGACTATTATATAAATGATAATCCAATTGAAAATGTTTCTAGTATTCGTGACCTGGGTGTTGTATTCGATGGAAAATTGTCATTTTCTGAACACATTTATGCATGTTGTAATAAAGCATTGAAAATGTTGGGTTTTATCAAAAGACACAAGAGACTTTGAGAATGTTTCTGCTCTCAAGTGCTTGTATGTGTCATTGGTTCGTTCCCATCTTGAAAATAATAGCTGTGTGTGGTCACCACACTATAAAATTTATATTGAATTAGTTGAACGTGTACAGAGAAAATTCTTGAGATACATAGGGTACAAAATGGGAATACCTTCAGATTTTATTGATCATGGTCATCTTTTGCAGAATTTGTCATTCGAAACATTGGAGCATAGGCGTAGAAAATTTGATCGGTTATTGATTTTTAAGTTGCTCAGAGGTTATCTGAATTGCCCTGAGTTGCTCTCAGATGTAAATTTGAATGTCCCAGTGAGAAATTTTAGAGCGTGCGCTGATTTTCGTTGGAGAGACATCGTACCTCTTATGGCCAACACACAACCATTAATCGGGCTATGTCTTATGCCAATGAAATACAGGTGGACATATTTACTGCGTCTTTGCACCAAATGAAGCTATCACTGTGATATTGTTTTGTAATCTAGTGATTTACTCTGTGATCTGTTTTTGGCTGTTTTTTGTCGACCTTTCAATTTTCTAATTTAGAAATTATTTATTGTAGTCTTTTTAAAATTTTTATTTATAGGTATGTGGTTTGTTTTTTTTTTTTTTTTTTTTTTTTTTTTTTTTTTTTTTTTTTTATTTAAAGCATTTATTGCAAAAATTCCAAACTACCATCAATATATCAACATAATTAAAAATAGGAACTACAACAAATACATTCACCCACAAGAGTAGTCTCGCACGTGGGTTTAAAACAATGTTATTAGTATTAATATATTATTATGGCAATATCTGTGAAATTGGGCTGCTGCCCGTTGGAGGTGGAAATAAATGAATAATTAGAACTACTTAGGTACCTACTTGATCGTACCTACCCAATGAATAAAAGTGAATATCTTTTTATCCCGCGAATTTTGTGTATCATCATGATTTTCTTAGGGATCCCATGCAGGTCTTGTTTTCAGTCTAGGTTTTGATGAAAAGTCGATAGAAGTCCCAGTAATTATCAAAATAAATCGTTGAAAAAACAAAAATTGGAAAACAAGAAATAAAAAGCAGCAAAGAAGTTGTTTGAGGATGACCACAAGGGTCGAGCCTGAGAAGGATAGAAAAAATTACTGTGGCTCAAGTTATGGTGTATATGCTACACAAACTAAAGATATTATGAATGAAAGGAAACAGTACCTCTTAAGTCTTTATAGCACTTTGCAAAAATAATGCATAGCAAATCATCAAAAATTTCATTGTTTAAAAAAAAAAAGAAAATAGTTTCCTTTCCTAGTGTAATTTTTGAATTTTTGATGAAACAGAATGTTCCTTTTTTTGTACCTGTTTTTTGACCAAAAATTTTTGTGAAATTAAAGGTTAGTCCACACCAAAGAAACACATAGGAACATATTAGTCTGAGGGACACACCATGGTTACGCATTTTTGTGAATGTTTCGCTGTGTTGCTACAACAGTAAACGCTGTGTCTACACCAGCAGTGCGTGTTCCTTCGAAACAATGTGGTGCAACAACGATTTACACACACACAACGCTTGAGTTTAGAGTTTTGGGAACAAGCAACATGTCCACATGGATAAAAATTAAGTTGAGAAACACAAAATGTTTACCAATGTTCCTATATTTTCTTTGTAATTTTTCGCTAAATATGGAAACAAGCAACTTATAGGAACTTTTGTTGCTGCAACCATAAACAATAAGCAACTTGAATAAACTTTAGGAAACATACAGAGACAAGTTCCAGGAACAAGCAATATAAACACAATGTTCCTATATGTTGCTTTTGGTGTGGACGTAGCTTAAATTAATGCATACTCATTCAAAAAAGTTAATGTTGATATTAACATTTTATCAATATCTCCAGAGTAAATATCTTATATTTCTCACTGAATCTATTGGCGATTTTCTTTTTTCCTGTTAGGTATCAATGTATGGTGATTTATAAGATCTTTTAGACTGTAGTACATGTGGCATGTACCTTCAGCTGTCTAATCAGCTAGGCGCCTTAAACAGAGTTAAATGACGATGAGACTTCTAATCTATATTACTCATATAATGTGACAGAAAATTAAATTTTTTTTTTGGTCTCACCACAAGTTAACCTAAACTCTAAACATGTACATGATGGACATATAAAGAGTATATATAGTGTTACAAAGTTGAAAGCATGCATTGTGGATGAATAAAACCATCATAAATAATACAACATCCTAATATAAGTTACAAAATTTATTTTTGTTATCTGAAACACATATTTGAATAATTACTAATAATTATAAAACTATATCTAAATCCTAACAAGATTATTATTTTCCTTTCTCCTAACATAATCGGGAACATAGAGATCAAGCTCAAGACAAACCAAGAAAGTCAATAACTAATAAGGCGTTAGCTATCTCTATGCGAGTTCCATAGATAGCGCCATTCTAATCAGTAACGCCCTATTTCACAATAAATTCCTTTAGGTAATTTTAACTTAGTAATAGATAATATATGAAATGTACTCTTCAAATCCAACGGATCCCACAAATTCCTTTTTTTATGAATGAGGTAACAAAATAAAGTAAATAATTTATTGATGAAATTAAAAAACAAAACAAAAACAAAATAGGCAAAAAAGTTAAGTGTTTTAACACTAATTTCTAAAACAGTAGAAAAATTCCAGTCTCATTCAGAAGCCAATATTCCAAAGCTATCAAGAAATTGTCATTCCACGGGCAAATATCCAGACCCACAAAAGTTAAATCAACATCAATTGGTTAGTTAATATCTAAGCTACAATGATAAGAAATTCTACACACTTTTAATTGGTACAAAACTAGATAATATCGTAATATAGGGCACATTTGCTTCATAGCTTTGGGCGATAGTAGATAGAATAATATACTTATAGTCTAACGAACTTTAATGGCTGGAGCAGCCATATTCTGACGGTTCAAAAATAAACCCACTCCAGTTCCAATCAGCAAAGAAAACAGATTGGTGAGGAACATAATGCAAAGTCCTCTTTTGGAGAAAAGGGAAGTGTTCCCTATTTTGGCATGACGGAGGCTGAACTTGTGGTCATGCTTTTTGTTAGCAGAGCTAGGGACGCGGAAACTCCATGACTTTGGCGGAACACAATCTGGACGACTACTCCAATCAGTAAGAAAATCCTGCAATAAATAAATTGTATATTTTATATAACATAATTGGGCAAATTCCTGGCTACAACAAATAAAATAAGCAAATATCTCAAAAAAAACTGTAAAAGCTATCAGTTTTTTTTAAAATTCTATTTCAAATTACACATAAGGCCAAGTATTATTGTTTTTTTTTTTAATTGGGAACAATTGAAGCAAAGCCACTGGATTTTTGTGTATAATTTTTTGAACAGCATATCTTTTGGTATTAGAATGATGCAGCAAAGGACTTTTATCAAGGTTAACCGCAGAAACGTACCTTCAGCTCTGAAGATTCAGAGTTAATATAATATGACTGCCATTCCAGATTCATCGGACTGCCTTGGATTATAGGACTGTTCGGAGGTGATTTGGGGCTACTTCTAGGAGAGTCCCTAAGGGAGCCAGCCAATGAGGCTTTGCAAGATGACTGATTAGATTCCTGCGCTTCTCTAAGTAAGCGCAGATAGTCCTCAGTTGTAAGCTGTTGAGTTACTGAAGCCGGTGTTCCACCTCCTTGAGCATAGTTGCCTGCAATTTCTACCCAGGACTCTGTAAAAAAAAGGTATTTGAGACGTGAAATAAATAATTACATATTTTTTTTTCATTGGGTACAAGATACATTTTTTTATTCCATTAATTTTGACTTGTGCTAAGTATTGGCCAATTTTTTACCAAGGTCGATTTAATGCAGTTATAAGCGAGGCGCCCATCACCATACCATCCAAATTTGTATTTATACAGACAATAAGAATTCAAGAAGTAGAAGCTACTAGGTACTGCAGTCCGCCAAGAGCACATCCAACCGCCAGCAGATCGATGTCACACAAGGGGAGTAGGTGAGCCATATCATCACATCAATGAACTTGATAATTCCAATAGATAATGATTCTACCCAAAAAAAGAACCACAATTCTGAAAAATTAGCAACCAGCGGAGCATCCCAAACTATTCGATGAATTCAAGAATGACCTATGGATGTCATGTTAACTAAAAATAAAAGATTTACTGACCAGAAGACAATTGGAATCAATCAACAGCCAATTATTCTACCAGACCTTGAAACCACAGCTCCGATAGTTAAAAAAAATTGAAATTAGAAAAATTCCGAGCATATGGACGTATTCATTTGCGGAATGTTAATAGCAATAATTGGGTATGTTTTATACAAATAAATGTATCCAAAAATTGGTGGAGAAGAAATAAAACCACCTCCACGCCAATCGAACTGCCCCTCAACAAGGCGTACCTTGGATGGAGGAGTTATTTGAGGTGAGTGTCTAATAGGTACTGAGGCAACAGCATCAGATGTCAGCGAGACCTATTTTATATTCAGCAGCAACCATAATTATTAATTGTTGTTGTATTAAATCGAAACTAGTTGTAATGTTTTTGTACAATAATGCTCAGCCCAAATTGCCATAATTCACAATGAAGTGGCGTCGTTGGACAATTCCTTGGGGGATTCTTGGTTTTCATTATCATATCCACCAGGCAGCGTTCCTTGCAACTCCTATTCTGCTTGGGTCAAGGGTGTTGCATCATCTCACTTCCTGGTCATTGTGCAATTGATTCACCCTTAATATGGAAAGAAGCTGACACTGCACCTAAGAAGACGAAAACATTTGCAAGCTGCTCCCTATACAGTCCAGCCCATTAGCTTTGTTGGTCACTCCAGGCTGGACTGACCAACAATGGGTACATTCAGGCGGTCCCAGCGGCTAAACTCAGCCACTCAGCAGGGAGTTTATTCTCGAAACCAAGGAACAGAGTTCTCATAAGAACGATTGCTCTGTCATTGTCAGTGTTATGCCGGACGACAAAGGCAGAAACTTCTCAAAAGAATATTTCCGAGAACTTTCGAGAATATTTCCAAGAACTTTCCAGAAGAATTTTATAAAAATGTAAGATTATTGCGAATACAAGGTCTCAGTGACGTCAGTTCAATTTATGTGGATGACGTAGCCCAGTCTAACTGTCTTTACGGAAACGGTGATCCGATTTACCCGCTTCTTAAGTAATATAATTTGAACTTCTTATTTTAAAGCTCATTTATTAAATTTGGACGTTAGGGGGGTTTCAGGTACCTCCTGGGTTTTTTTTACCCGTATTTAGGAAAGGACCACACGCAAATATAACATACATGGCTTATGGAATCATTGAAGGAATCGCAATTAAATGTCGGGGTGCATCTTTGCACTCCATCAGAGGCAAAGGTGGATTTGGGTGGTGGGACCCTCCTTCAGTTCTTCTTCTTACCCGATCATCAGCTGATGTACCTACAGTTTGTCTTTTTTCAAAATAATCTTCATTGAAAAAAGATAAAAAATAAAGAGCTGAGAAATTTGGTTAATCGGATCAGATTTTTCTTTAAAGCCTTATTCATCCATCCATAAAAGTGTTTTTACTACATAGTTTAATTTTTAGCTGATCTTACAGAAAAAAATAGGTGTTTTTCTTGGTTTATAGTCTATAGTCAGTACACTACAATAATAGGTACTACGATTTGTCTGATTTAGCCATAAATTTTTAAAAAATACAATATTTCCATAAGTTCCCGAAAGTTTCCAATATTCCCGGAAAGTTTCCGAGAATGTTCGCGGCTTTTGAATGTTTCGGGAATTTTACATCACTAGTAAGGGAACTGCAAAACTATAGTTGGTAATCTGAATTTTATGCAAAACGCAGAATACATTTTGTGCATACCTAATTAGGCGTGCGTGGCCTTGTTTGACTCTTGAGCATAGCAGCATCATGAAAATGTCAAATGTAAACAATTCAATAAACAATCAAGGACCTTATTTGAAATGCTTATATTTGTATGTAAACATTCGACAATACGGCATAGACTTTGTTTTAGTCCAGGGTTTATAGTTATTATGATCCTATAATTAGAAGTACTGATTATAAATCATTACTTTTTGTTGGCTTGGCATGAGTAATGATTCTGAACAAAGAAAGGAAGGTGCCATTGTCCCATGGTTATTGATTTATTTTTACATTTTTATGTTCAGGAGTGCATATTATTTATTGTTTATCCATTTAAAAAATTTAAATACAGGATATATACCTATATATATTTATAAAAGTAAAACGCAGTTCAATGACTCAAAAGGATGATTTTTGAAGCCTAGCCTAGAATGCCAATCTTGCTAGTAGCAACGTAAACAAGCAATAGAGAGGTAAACAAACAGATTCTAGCAAACAGCAACTGATTAATATTTACTTACCGCCTAAAGCATCGTCATTTGTTGTATTCACAACTGCGTTTTTCGAGGATGACATCCTGCGGATCCTACGGAAATGCGACAATATAATATTTATTTTTGCCACACACAACACAAATAGTTATCAGCTTATTTTTTTTTCAAAACAATGGAAACTGTGAGTGGTGCGTCACAACAAAAGAAACGAGAGTACGTGTACGACTACAGGTACGGAGACAGTGTACGTGACAAACACGACCCTTTCCCTTTCGGAAACTAAACAGACAACTCAACTGCACAACACGCAAATAAATTGAGAAATCATCCTCCTCCCACGTTCCATGTCGTTTTCGATTTGACTGCACTTTTGTCCTCAGAGCAAACTCGGTACGCTCCGAGCTAGACTCTATTAAGCGCGCCATGTGGAAATATTTTGGGCGTGTTGCAACGAAAGCGCATATTTGGACGTAGAGTACAAGAGTGTTTTGCATAATTCGTTCCACATAAAGTATTTAAATTTGTTCTGCTCAAAATAAGGACGTTACGATCACCTCGATTTAAATTCCAGACTATTCAAGAGCCTGCTCTGACCTACACTGCACTGCTCCGACTGCGTCGTCCTTCCCAATAGCTGTATTCCTTTCAAGAGTTTGAAACACTCGAGCTACTCGCTCCGGTGTTCAGGAGCCCCCAATTTGCAGGGAACAGATGCGTGGTGCAACAAACACTTTTCGAAAGGAATAGGGGCGTGAAGCCCCGGAGCTGTTCCGGAGCTCCTCCTAGGTGTGAAAGGAATACAACTATCGATAATACACACCCAAGGAGAATAAACTTTCTAAGGAGTGCTTATCGGCCCCTTTTTGGGTAATCGCCGCCATATTGGTTTTCAAATGTTTCCAACCACTGCTGACGTCATAACTAAGTCGCCAGCTGTTTGCGCCAGCGGTTTTATAAATTTATAAATTTGTCATGAAAAATATATTATTTTGATTCTGATTAACCATTATAGCGCGTAAAGGTACCCTATGACGGAACCAATAAACATCAAGGTCAAAAGTGCGCTCGGAGCGCGATATTTCGATATTTGGCTAGCTTTCGTCATTCCGCCTATTTACACGTTTTCAGCATGTATGATTTAATGGAGCCCTAGGAGAATTACGCGGCGTTTTGTTTACATTTCTTTATGTAAGTATAATAACTATAAGATAATTTATTCTATACTATTTAATTGTTTTTAGGGTTTTCTCATATTATTATAAAAACATATTCCTATTCGAGCATAAATTGATCGTTTGTTTATGTATTATATTCTTGTAAACATTACTGTCCCATATGGCATATGGGCCTGGGCAGAAGCTAACATTTTTAGCTGTACATTTTGTTTTAGTGGAATTAGCCATCAGGAAGTTTTGAATACTGCTTATGATAATGAAAATGTTGATGGCATATTATTGAGCCCACACAGAAAGCAAAGAGCTCACTGACTAAGATTCAGCAGATGAGGAACGTGGTTTAGCTGACCTATCTACTAGGCAACTTTGTGGTAGTGCAAAAATTGTTTATTCGAATGGGAAATATATCACAGGTAGAGCAGAATTAACAATTTTTTGAGAAATCATACAATTTTAACTTTATTTTTATTTTCAGACATAGGTACCCGAGGAAATATAAAGTACCACCTTGTGCTACAGAAGAATATGCTTCGGGCTGCAGCAAGTGATTTTTGAGTCAATAATGATATAAGGTATTATGGACTGCATCATCATTCAAACACTTTTCCTGAACGTAAAAAAAACGATGTGGTGGTCAAAACTGTAGCAGCCGAGGAAGAACAATGTGCTGTAAATGCAATATCGACTTATTCATTCACTGTTCTCGAAAGTTTCACACTGGGTAATAATTTTCACCCATAATGCTGCTCGTGATGATGCAGGCCAAAATTCATTATAATCTATTTCGTTTACCTGATCCGAAATGATTATATCCATACAACAGCCTAACCGGATCTTTTTCTTATATTTTTGTAAACTTTCTACAATAGGACATTGCCAAAAGGGTCTAAAGGCAGGTATGGTATCTCCCTTATAATGTCTGTATTTGAATAACTTGTATATGTAATAAATAAATAAATATTTTATAAATAACTCTTTATTTTTATTTATTAATGGGTGAAAATTAAATTAACAAAGTCAAATAACTTGAACACAAATCTGATTTTTACTCGAACTACCTATAACAATATAATACTGGTAATTAGGATTCAATAAAAACTTTACACGTTGTGCTGTTTGCTCGGCCATTTGTATGTCTATCTGAGAAGAGTTTAATAATTGAATAAAAGTATAAACTACATTCATTACTTGTATAGTCTCAATAGAATCTTGATTTCTTTTTCTTTTGGCAAGTTTTTCAGCACCCATGGAATCTATTTTTTGGCTCGGTTTATGGATCACTATAGAAGAGGGCAAATTCTGGGATGGTACAACTGTTTTTCTCAATATCCGACCTCTACCTGTACCTCTAAGACCTGTACTCTCACCTGTAAATAAAAAAAAACAGTCAATATTTTCAAACAAAACATTTTAAAAATAGATAGTACCTACTTGAACAATGCCTAGAAGCAGGCCTAATAAAATGAAGCTAGGGCACAAAACTACCCATTATGCTTGTTTACCTTAACACAAAATTCTTGCTTGAGATGCAGAGAATACACTTTCATGAATTTGGTGACTGGTTTGCCAATACGAAGTTTTAAAATCCAGTAGGCTTTTCTTCTCGACATCTTTTTCCATTTTCGATTCCAAATAAACCTGTGTGGCCTGTTTCAAGGGGAAATATGTAGAAACTCAATCCTTTGTCAGCTTTTTTTTTTTAGCCCAAGACTTGCACTGAGGAACACAACAGTAATGATTAAAAGTCATGATTATATGTACTTATCTGATAAAATTTTATAATTTTAGACTTTAATTATAGAAACTAGTTTCATAATTTCCAGCCAGCAGCCAGATCATAACATAACCTGTGGTGCAAACAGCCTACGTCAAGGCGAAAAACGCCATGATGCTTACGTCACAACTGCTTTTTTGGCTAGGCGGGGAAGGGGGGGATTTGTTACACACAGGCCTTATGAGGATAAGCCATCCTTAGTAGTATGTATCATCCTTGATACACACCAAGGAGAATACACATTCTATAATGCCTCATTCTCAATTGCGCGAAATTCGCTCTTTTTTGACAATGCTTCAACAATTTGACGTTTTTTACGTTTTTCTTAACCAACTCTGCCGCTGGGTAAATTTCACTCCGTCATTCTTGTCAGTTTTTCATAATTTAAATCCACTTGTAAAGCTTAGTACTCATAACTGCGAAATTCGCATTTTTTTGACATTGCTTCGACAATTTGACGTTTGATACACGCATAAAACGTCAAATTGTCAACGCAATGTCAAAAAAATGCGAATTTCGCAGTTATGAGTACTAGGCTTAATACTTTTGGATTAGTCAGATTTATTTATTCCATTTTCCTTTTCTCGGAAGTTGATAATACGTACAAACAGATAAATGAAATCCACAAAAAACTGGGCCTAAATGTTATGTTTTTACAGTTTTTAAGTATGTTAGGCTATAATTATGTGCAGCCTACGTCAAAGCGAGAAAGGACAGGCTGCCTACGTCACAACTAGTGATTTGACGCGGTGAAGGGCTTCAGATTTGTTCCACACAGGCCTTATGTGGATAGGCTATCCTGTAGTAGTAGTAGTGTGTAGTATCCTTGGTCCTTCCTACGCTGCTAAGGGCGGGTATTATAAAAATACTTTGAGAGTTAACTTAAAGTTAACTTCTGGATTACATGTAATTCAAAAAGTTAACTTTAAGTTAACTGTCAAAGCAGTTTTATAATACCCGCCCTAAGGGTGGGTATTATAAAACTTCTTTGAGAGTTAACTCAAAGTTAACTTCTGGAATTAGTGGAATTACATGTAATTCAAAAAGTTAACTTCAAGTTAACTGTCAAAGCAGTTTTATAATACCCGCCCTAAATGTCAAAGCAGTTTCAGGGGCGCGTTCAGATCAATCGTCTGGTATCACCTGAGCGCAAGCTGGCCGTTCAGAGTGCTTCGGGTAAAATTTACCCAGCCGTTCAAGTTTAGATTGTCAGTAGATTTTTACCAGATGATACCCCGATGCACGTTTTTAGCTTTGTTCCAGCCCAAGGAATAATCGGAAACTTGACTGGATACATCAAGGACAATCCACACTACTACAGGATTGCTTATCGGCCTCCTTTTCGGTAATCGCAGTCAAGAACACAGAACACTTAATCTAAGGCGTATTCTTTCTAATCTAGTCAATTATCAGTGATATAAGTGAAAATGATAGCGTTCTTAAGGACTGCTTATTGAGCTGAAAGTGTCTGCCATTTCAGCCTCAGACCTGAACTCTTGGCGTAAAATGCATTAGCCGAGTTTAAAACAGTACGTTCAAAAAAACGAATTCCTTAATGTTGAAATCACCTTTTCTACATTTAAAATCGACGAAAAAACAAGCACGACCAAGGAGGAGCTCCGGAACAGCTCCGGGGCTTCACGCGCTTATTCCTTTCAAAAAGTGTTTGTTGCACCACGCATCTGTTCCCTGCAAATCGGGGGCTACTAAACACCGGAGCGAGTAGCTCCAGTGTTTCAAACTCTTGAAAGGACTACAACTATTATAAGCTGCTATGCTGGGGCGAGTTCAGGAATGACACACTCAGTGTGTGTGTGACACCGGTGCGACGCACTAGCCGTTCATAAATGCTATAGGCACACCGAGTGCGCGCACTCTGTTCCCTTCAGAAAGTACTTCGGGCGCGCTCCAGGTGTCGCACCGGTCACACCATAATTTTTTGGTGTGGCTGCGATGTGGGTTTGCCTTTATGTCAACAATATCAATCATTCCTCCCATCTCTCATTATTCCCACCCAATAGTCCTTTTCACGTGGTCCGGTTTAAACTAACCTGGTTACAAAACGGTTAGTTGCGGTCTGTCAAGTATGACATACCGTTTTCTAGGTTACAAAGTGAAGTAACCGATACCACTCGAATTTGAGCGGTATCACAGCCTCCTACATTTAACAAGCCATGAAGTTAAAAAGGCATCATCGTTTCATCAATTGGAATACGTGTTGGAAGAAATTTTCGCCATTTAACATAATGAGTGCGACAAAAACAGGTATCCCCTCCGTAGCAGCCGCACTAGGCTTCAAGTTCGTCCTTATGTGTTAGCATTCCAGTTTTTGTTTATAGTTCATTGATTCTAACCTCACACTTTCCTTTTTTTAAATTTTTTTC